GGCTCTTCACGCACTCCTTCCTGAATCCTCCCATTCCACACTGGCTGACTGGTCACTCCTTCCTGAATCCTCCCATTCCACACTGGCTGACTGGTCACTCCTTCCTGAATCCTCCCATTCCACACTGGCCGACTGCTCTCCCGCCTCTCCCTGTACTGTCATTTCTAGTCTACACCACTGCTCCTGATCAGAGGCCTGCATTAATTCCGGAGAGACTCTGACCTCAGGTCCATCGCTTCTGGACACCTCCAGACCCTTAAATCTTTCGACATCCTCCACAGCATCACATCTGGTCATTGTTCTGATGCTGATCAATGGGCTCTAAACAGCCCTGAAATTGCTTTTTGTCGCATCAGAAGCCACACGGTCGTGTAAGTAGTGCAGCTGCTTTGGAATTTGGAAAGTGGGCCTTGCGATGCTGAAGGCGTCCTTTGTGATCTATACTGCGTATGTTTAACAGGCCTGGCCCAGCCCGAGACCGGAATGGGGCCCAGGAGGAGGAAAAGCCGGAAAAACACACATACAAAGTTTGCTGAGCAAATTCGCAAGCTAAAGAGAACAAACCAAAATGTGTCCTTGACCAAGCGGAGCGACGTGGTGGCAGACTGAGGCTGAAGCGTAACGTAAAGGCTCTGGCAACACTGCAGGCCTCCGAAGGAGAAACGCATCCTACAACAAATTCACAATTTTTTTAAATTAAAACCTTTTTACTTATTAATGGTGTCTAATAGGAATTTGACTGGAGTACTGGAAGCCTTGCACCAAAATGGTCAATGTAAACTGCCCAGTAAGCTGAAACGAAACTGAAAATCGATGCTCCCAGAAAAGGCAGCGCTATATATGAAAACCTGAGCTCCTGTACAATACCCTAGGCTTTTGTACTTAATCAGGAACAAACCATTTACAGAGAATGGTGTTTATGTTGTACCTATAATTCAATATCACAGACAAAAACACCAATATTATCATGTATTATTTTCTGAATATAAAGAAACCGGCCCCACCAAAAAAAGGTCAGAAATCTTCAGAATGCCTTCGTTGTCTCATACGTCACCCATACTCTATTATCCTTATGTATTAGCCTATCAAGTGCTTGCTAACTATCCATTTTCTTGACTCAATAAATGTCATTGACTCAAGTGAGAGGCAGTCGGAGAGTCTTCCCTTAATTTATCTTGTGCTCAGTTTAAATATGTTGAGCACGGAATTCCAAGTGGTCACCACTGGGAGACTGCAGGTTCCATTTAAATTGTTTAAATTGGATTGTCTCCAAGTCAATACAGAATTCTGTTCAGCTACATTTGTTTGAAATATTATTTTCCCATGCTCAATGAACAGACATTAAACAGAAGAATATATTTTAATGTTAAATAATATTAAATGTAAAGTGAAAGTGCATTTTAAGCATACGCATAAGTAAACATCATCACCACCTTGTACTGGATAAGCAATTATGGAAGACAGAACATGCCTAAGGAAAATTATTATTAATTAGAAACTAACTATACCATATTAACACCACCTACATAAAAGTGGTCTGCAATGGCACATATAAAATTGATTCATTTTACTAAAACACACAAATAACTTTGCAGAAGTGTCCAGTGACGTTTCCTTTCTTAATTTCTGTAAAGCTTGTGTAATATTTCTCAGCCGACCTTATGAACGCTTGAGAAGACTCCATCATTTAAATCAAAAATCACGCCACACAGTATCAAAGTCAAATCCACATCGAACAGAGTAAGGGATTATAACTTTTGACACCTGTCATAATTTATGCACTGAGCATGACATATACTCCCAGCTACGTTCCATCGATCTTCCTTTCCTGGATTATGTATCTCAACCTGCAGGATAATGACTCTTGCCTTCATGAACAAAATTAAAAAGATCCTTCTCTTTAAACCTGTCATTATTAACACTTACTAATCTCCAGCCATTTTCCTAGTAGTCTATGGGCTTTACCTAGACAGATGTTTCCCTAGCTTCCCTCTGCATGGACCCCGAACATTTAATAAAGGGAACAGCGGCAATGCGGCAATGAACTGAAGGCCAGATTTTCACAAACATATTGTGGACACATACACACATCCCCCCAGGCCTTCTCAACATGGTTAGGTCACCCTGTCACCTCTAATCAGGATCTATAGCAATTGCACACTTGTTAAAACAGGAAAACAAAGAGAGGCTGAATGGTACAGGGGAGACACAGGTAACTCCAGCCGTACCATCTCCAAAGAGCTGAAGTATGGCCAGGTCGACTTGTCTCTTCCAGCCTGAGTCTTTCTGTATGGCGATGCCATATCCAGTCGAGGCAAAAACCTTGCCGCTGCCGATGGTCACCAGTTTGCAGCCCTCGTCTCTTCCGGCCATATAGTTGAGCACCGCCGCGTCATAGATGAAAGCGTCCAGTTTGCTGACCAGAGAGGGAGGAACGAGCCCGGAAATGAGGGTGTATTCATGTCAGAGGGACTCCAAAGTTTGTCTTTGGTTCAGCAAATGCACCAATAATGGTCTTAGGATTGTCATCTCAGTTGGCCAAGAGGATTTTACATTTTCCCAACATGAACGTTTGTAATGGAGTGATTGCAGGTTAGGTACCTTGAAGGACGCACCAGTCTCCCTTTTGGTTTATGGACCCATATCATTAACCAGTGGACAACCCACCCAATAATGGCCATGTCTCATAGATCTTAAGAGAGACTACGATCTGCTCTGCTAGGTAGCACGTTAAGATACTCTTTGGGATACAAGGCATCAATGAGATACAAGTGTCTTGCATTTCTGTGTGTGTAATATCAATATGTAACAGGCACCCAAACAAAGCTAATTCTGTGGCCAGGCCTGCACCCTTACCCACTCTTCAAGCTCTGCAGAGCCTCATCCACATTCTTCTGGTGGAACTTCACCATGTAGCTGTGCATCTCTTTGTAGTTGTTCCGGATATTCCTCTCCGTGCTGCCATTGGGCACTGTGCCGAAGCGGAACGGCGGAGAAAAGTCGTTGGGCCTTTGGAACTGAGGACACATGAAGGTGGAGCGACTGTCAACTTAGAGCAGACGGGGAAACCTGAGAGGCGTCACAGGCCTACTTTTATAGTCATGGGGCTGGAGAGCATGTGGCTGAGCAGAGAGGTCGGCGTAGCCTCTCCCAGACATGGACAGGTGGCAACCGCTACCGGGGTTAGCGGGGCGCTGTATACCTTTTTATCGCTCAGCCCGGAGACCTGGTCCACGTACTCCTCCTGGATCATGAAGGCAGCCAGATTGGCAGTGTAGCTGGCCAGGAAGATGACGGCGAAGAAGGCCCAGACGGACACCATTATCTTGCTGGTGGTGCCTTTGGGGTTCTGCACGGGGACAGAGTTGTTGAAGACCAGGCCCCAGAGCAGCCAGATGGCCTTGCCGATGGTGAAGGAGGGACCGCCAGGCTCTGGGGGAGGGGGTGGTTGGAGAAGAGAGGAAGGGGAACGAGAAAGGGGGGCCTCATCAGTGCACCAGGTTGGCCGTCACACGGTGTGGGACCCGAATGTAAAGCATCGGGAACGAAAATTGGCAGCGGAGTGTTGGACGGTGCTGCCATCATTTTCAGTGATTAAATAACAGCGCAAGTCAAAAGTATTTCACATATATGTTACGGTAGCTGCAAAAAAAAAAGCTGCATTTTTTGTGCAGGGAGATCAACAGGGAGTTATAAAGTAAACAGGCTTCAAAAAAAACTACCCATGTGTTTAACCCTCATCTTCATCTCTGTTAATCACAAAGCAAGACGATTAGGCAGGAGTGTCGCTTGCTGGAAATTAAGCAAAGCAGGATTCAGATCGACAATGTGCTCGATCTCACGCGAAAGGGATACACAGTGCAGCACAAACAATATCGAGAGGTATTGATCGCCAGCTTAAGGATTGATAATGCTTTCCAAAACACTCGGCTGAGATCATTTCCACTCGGTTGCCTCTAATTAAGTGAAGAAATATTTTCAGGGCTCTGACTTTTTTTTTCCATACCAGGGAGGCTTCATGTTGGCTGAACTGTCGCTCATTAGTGCAATCTGTCACCCGTCTCAGCTTGCCAGAGGTTTTCAGCGTTACACTCATCATTTAGAATATCCCTGACAAGCCCAAAGAGTTCATCTACCAAGTCGATGCTGGACACAGGGGTTGCTGTGGCTACGGGCCGTCCGTTTCATGCATTGGCACAATCACAGGAATCATTAAAGTGAAACGTACGCAAGATGTTCGACAATTATGTCAAATCAAAATCAGCCAAAATCAGAAATGGTTCACTTGGATGCAACGGACCGGATGAATGAGTACGTTTGAGATGTTTTGAAGCTAACGTCAGCCTGCAGGACAGGCTTTTGCCCCCTCATCGTGTGTGTGTGCGTGTGTGTGTGCGTCTGTGTGTGTGCATGTGTGTCCCCCCCTGCCCCGGCTCTCCCGCACCCACCCTGGCAGGCACGGGGTGCGTGGGGTTTCGTGTGAATGTGTTCCAGATGACGAGGGTGGCGGGCGGTGGCCCGGCCTTCTCATCGTGCGTTCTCACCTCTCCCATCTGCCAGACAGCGATTGTACCCCACCGGGCTGAAGTACTCAAACACAAAGACGGCCACGGCTGACACGATGAGCAGCATCACGAACATCATCACCCACACATCAGCGCTGAAGGGCTCTGGGGGGACAGCGAAACGGGGAGGGGGGGGGGGTTAATACATTGACCAGCTTGTCCTAGCTCACACTGTACTGTAAAAAAAAGAATGACAGGTTGAAGAAATACATACTGTGTGTGTGTGTGTGTGTGTGTGTGTGTGTGTGGTTCAGGTATACCTTACCTTGTGGGGACCTGTTTTTTTCCAGTTTCCAATTTTCTAAAAAATCGTGACTGCAATCAAAAAACCAGGATTGCCAAAAGATTTGTATTTTATTTGGTTACTTTGGTTTTGGTTATGGTTAGGGCTAGGTAGGGGTTACAGTTGTCACAGTTAGAATATTTTTCCCATAGAAATGAATGTGCGGTCCCCACAAAGATATGATTATAGGTCTGTGTATGTGTGTGTCTGTGTGCATGCACATGTACGGGCGTGAGTGGCTCACCCAGGAAGGCCGAGGGAGACACAGTGCCGTTGCTACGGGAGACCATGACACTGATACCCGTTTCGATGAAGGGTACAGAGAAGTCGATGACCTCTGACCTCTCCTCGTTGATGGTGAGGGAGCCCACTGCCATATGGGCATTTTTCAACACCACCTGTGAGTGAGAGAGAGAGAGAGAGAGAGAGAGAGAGAAAAGGGGGGGGAGAGGAATCCAGGCGGAAGAGGTAGGTCACCCAACAGTCTCCAAATACTGACAAACAGAGGCGGACACAACACTGTGAATAAGGAAACAGAGGAAGGGAAAGTGGGTTACAGCAGTAGGTCAACACTGCTGGAAATAGATACTCCAGCCCCCGCCCTTCTGAAGCCACAGAGCTACAGAGCTCCCCCCCATCTACAGGTATATTCAGCTGTTAATACCTGAGCCCTTCAGCCCTGAACTAAAGTAGGACAGACCGACTTGAGTTGCGAACGTTTAGGTGAGTCTAAGTTTAGAGACCGTCTCTGCAAAAATGAAAGGCTCCTTACCTTCCTATCTAAAATTGCCTCTTATCTATTCCCTGTCAATCCCACTTCGAATTAATTTGTCCGATATTTTACACTTTGATAAGAGCGTGTTAATTTAGCCACTCCTCCGACATGACAGGCAAAACTCCCTACTCCACTGTGATCTCACAATAAAACAGCACGACCAAGGAAGTGCCAGGATATTAACTTTGCTGTTTAATTCAATCACCACAGACTGCAAAGTGATTCCCTCCATTCAGCCATTTTCTGCAGGGCCGTTTCTGCAGCGTGATGCAAGTCACACTCATTTATATTAAATATCCTAATTTAGGATTTTGCTCCCCAGAATGAGCACGTATTCGTTTGTGTCTAAAGCTGAACATCTAAATTACTCATCTTAATCTTGGGGGATTCAGTAGCATTTTTCCACTATTTGATTTTAATACCAATAAAAAAAAACATTCCTTCCATCAGCTGTTAAATGGGGGGGGGGGTGGTATACTGTGGGAGATTTAAACAACAGAAGAAGAAAAAAACCAACCTCCCCAACCATGCCATTCCAAGTACCGTTGATCTTCTTTCCATGCTTCCCATTGGTCACCAGGTAGAGGTCATAGGTGAACTTGACTGACTTGGCGATCTTCTTCAGGATGTCGATGCAGAAGCCCTTACAACAACGCTTGATGTAGATCCCAGTTTCCCCCCCTGTCTGATTGCTGAGAGACGGAGGCCACGTGGGTGGTGGGGGGGGCAGAAAGAGACGGTGGGGAAAATTAATAGGCATTGAGGGGCCGATAAGATGGATGGCAAGGATAGGGATGGAAGTTTATGTGCAAGAGTCAAAAGGAAAGGGACAGTAAGACAAAGAAAAGAGAAGGATCTAGAAGATAGGAGACTGGTTTGCAGGAAGGGGGGGGAAGTTTGCCAATGAGAATGATTTATTGAGATGAGTTGTAAAGTAGGGGGTGAAAAAGAGAAGTAGAAGATAAAATATGCAAGTGGTGCCATACTATGTGGAGATCATGGGAATAAAGAGGGGAAGCACTGGTGCAGTTACAGCAACGAACGACAAGAAATGGTGACAAGACACAGAGGAAGACTGACAGTGAAAATAAACACAGAAACCTTTCTGTAAACCCGGTACAATCGAACAGAAATCGCAAATTGTGTCGCTCCTGGCTTCACTACAAAATGTGCTTTTTCTTAAACTGCTCCAGTAGAAACCGAGGTTGAGCACAGTACTCACAATGCAACTGCTGTCACCAAGATGGCCAGGGAGAACTAACAGAAAAGGTGTGCCGCTAAGAGGGAGACAGTGTACATGGAAAAGGGGACCAGGGGCTGGGGGGGGGGGCACAGGGGGGCGGAGGTTTGGGGTGAGGGCTGAGGGCAGGTCTGAAAGAGCCCCCAAGCCTGGAGAGAGGAGATCTTGACGCAAGCATAGACCAGCGGCACCTCCCTGTTTCCAGGCTGAATTAACGACGGTGGGCTTGGCCATAGCCAGCCCTGTTCAACCACCGGGGGGCGCCGTTAATGATTCCTACGCATCCCAGCTCACAGGGCGAGCGTCAGCATGAACAGGAGCTCCAGCCGGAACACCCAAGCTGTGTCTCTGCGGGACAGCCATGTCGCGAAAGCCAGAGCAAGCATAATCATGTGCCTACGACCATCCATAACACATCTCCACAGAGAACCAGGATCTGGGTTGCCTGCACCTCTTCCCTGTGATCTATGCATCTAATGAAACCATCAGAGCAGGAAGTGGATGTGGGAACGACTCTCCCCGAACTGCAACCTTGCAGAAAATGCTGAGCGTAAACAGATTCGGTTTATGATGATGTTCATAATTATTGTTATTTTTATCACGCCGATGGAATGGCATCCCATCCAGGGTGGACCCCTGCCTTGCATTGACTGGGACAGACTCCAGACCCCCTGCACCCTACTAAAGGCGAAAGAGCTGAAAGATGGGGGATGACGATGATGTCACCATTGCCCATAATATATGAATGTGTGACTGTGGGTGTGTGGGCATTTTTGAAAATGATTACATTGTGGGGACCACGTTTCCCCACAATGTGATAAAAAAAAACTAACGTTTTATCTTGTGGGGACCACCTTTTCAGTCTCCACTAGGATAACCGTTTTTATAACAATCTCTGACTGCCATCAAAAAGCTAAAAATGCCAAAAGGCTTTGCTTATGGTTAGGGTTAGGGCTGGGTTGCGGCTAAGGCTGTCATAACTGGGATGTCCCCACAATGTGACAAAAATATCATCATCAACAACTATTATTATTATTATTATTGTATACCCATACATATTTTAACCTGCAAATTTTTATCTCACAGCAGATTGTGCTGGGAAGGTAACAGAATTCAATTTCCACCAAAAGACAGAAAACCACATTAAACAGGAAGCACTTTCAGCCACAGAGCATCTCCTAGTCCAATAAAGCAGCGACAAAAAAAGAATAACTTCAGGTGAGAACCGAATTTCAAATAATATCTTCATTTCAGCTTGCATTTCAGCTTGCATTTCAGCTCTTCTCATGACATAAACACCCCCTCCCCTCCCCAATGCCAACCCTTAACTGCCTGAAGATCATCACACGCAACGAAGTATGACTGAAACCAAAACAACGGGATTACTTGTGGGTAAACCTAGTTTGTAACGTAGGGTTACAGAAAGCTAAGGAGTGTTACGCAGCAATGTTACATTCATGTGGCATTGAATAGCACTAATGAAAATGGCTGAGGGAGGTGTTGTGGTGGCTCAGTGGGTAGTGCTCTCATCTCACACCTTCAAAGTGGGGGGTTTGACTCCCGTCTCTGCCCATTGTTGTGGGAGTGTCCTTTATGTACTTTGGTTTGCATGAAGCGTTATATCAAAAGACAACAGATAAAATCTCTATATTGCCCATATGTCTGTGTGTGTGCATTTGTGTAATGATTACAGTGTGGGGACCAGATTTCCGCACAATATGATAAAAACCAGTAACTTTTTACCTTGTGAGGACATTTTTTCAGTCCCCACAAGGATAACTTCAGTTTTATGACAATCTGTGTGTCAGGATTGGTGCCCGTCCAGTCCTGCCCTTTGTGTCTTTCCCCTGTTTGGCCAGTAGGTGTTGCTGGCCATCCCATCCTCCTCTTTGAATCCTTTATCCTCCTGTGTTTCTCCCTACTCCTGGACAGCTGCATAGCTCAGTGGGCTGAGCATGTAGTGATTGAGAACCCGTTGGGTGTGGGTTTGAACCCAGCTTAAGTACAGCCCAACCTATTTTGGGTATTTTGTTTGGCTTTTGTTGACCTTAGTTTTTTTGTTTCAGATCACGATTTTCCTAATGTTTGTTATTTTCTGTCTCAGTTCTTCCACCTGCAGTCCACCCTCCTTGTGTTAGGTTCTGGTTCTGGTTGAATTCTGGAATTAGCCTTGTATTCCTTGTGCTAGATTAATGTTTTCTAGCTTGTCTGTTAACCTTCCTAGTTCTGTGATTATCCCTGTTCTTTAGTTACACCTGTTGCTTGTTACTCTGCTGTTTGATTGGATGTCCTGCTAATGCTTCATTCCTGTGCCCTCATTAGCTCAGTTTAGGTTTGTGTATTTAAGTTCCTGCCTTCGTTTTCCCCCCCCAGCGAGTCACTGTATATGGTCGTGTAGGTGAACTCTAGGTCTGTGCTTTATTTGGTTAATAAACCCCTTGTGTTGTCTTGGAACCGCCAGTGGATCAATGCCTTCTATATGCCTGCACCATGCGCCGCCAGACTGTGACCTCAATCATAAAGCTAAAAATGGCAAGACTTGTATTTTGTTGGGATACTTATGGTTAAAATTAGGGCTGGGTTACGGTTGTCATTGTTGCCCACAGAAATGAATGGACGGTCTTGACGAACATATGACTCCAAACGTGTGTGCGTGCATGTGCCGTGTAATAAACGTCACCCTGACGGTGATACTCACACGCCTTTGAGCTGCTTCCGGCAGGGCACCGTGTTCCTCATGCAGGTGCCACTCAGGGGGTCCACGTCCTCCACGATGACGAAGGGCGCCTCCTCCAGCGTGACGATGGACAGGTGGTCGTCCGCATGCTCCCCGGCGTCCGAGAACAACTCGAAGCGCGGCCACACGTGGTACTTCATCGCCAACGAGCCATTCTCCCACTTTCCCACCTGGGTCCACGGAAAAGGCGGGGATGGAGGGGGGGGGGTAAACAGGCAGCATGGGGGCAGGCGCTCCGGTTAGGGTGCGCGTCACAGGGCTGGTGGGAGTCGGTGCTCCGTGACCGGGGCTTGGCCCAGACACGGCCCCCAGGATTCGGGACAGGGGGTCGGGCCCCGAAGAGCTCATGATGGGCTGTGATGATGGGTTTTGATGGCACTGGGACAAACTCGAGGAGAAAAACAAGAGACACAGAAACAAGGGGAGGGGGGCAGGCCAAGCCAGGGGCCGCTGTCAGTAAACACTGAGGAACGGGGGACTCACCCTGTCCCACTGCCTCTGCTTGTCCAGAAGGATGATGACCAGCTTTGGATAAATCTGATACCCGTCCTCGCTGAACGACAGGTTGCGTCCATCATAAGTCACATTCATGAGATACCTGGGAGAGAGACAGACCTTCAGCACTTGCACTGCACAGCTGGGAACTCGGCCGGAGAAACTTCCAAGGAAATCTTCAAATGTTGGCTTTTACGTTTCTGTAAATGTGCAACTGTTCAAATACACAATGTATCATAACTACCTTAAGCGATTCACAAGCCCCCCCCATGAAAAATGTTCAGGTTCTACACGTTGGCATGTATGAGGGTGGGGCCACAGGGACACTGGGCCCTGCTGAAAACTGATTGGTCCTCTCCCCTGTCGTTATTCACTAATTCAAAGCATGATAAGGTTGGCCTCTTCATGAATTATGGCCCCCACCTTAAAATGCCCTAGAATGGTTCTTGCATCTATGTGATCACAGCCAGTTCAGCTGATTAAAATCTGGGGGTTGGGATAGTATATGAAGTACCGGACACACCGGTAGCTTGCAGGTTTAAATCCCTGGCGAGGAAGCATCAGCATGCACAATTAGGGCATGTAAACAAAAGTGCCGCAGGAAGCATGCATCCAGGCGTGAAAAGAGGGTCAGGTGTAAAACAGCGACGCCTGCCCAGGTACAGCAGCGGTGCCCGCAGAGAACATCACGCGATGCCTGCCCAGGTACAGCAGCGGTGCCCGCAGAGAACATCACGCGATGCCTGCCCGGGTACAGCGTGGCACCT